AGAGATATATCTCCTCTATAAATAAAACATGTGATTGATTCGATTCATTCGCCAATAAACGTTTAATCTTCACTAGAGCAATACCCGTGCACAACGTGGAGAGTATCTTTATTTGCGAAGGAAGGATTTCGCGTGGGTTTTGCGCGGACCAACGTGATGTCATGGTTGCGTGTGTCCGTGCGTGCGCCCGCGTGCATGCATGCGTGTGTGTGTCCGTGCGTGCGCCCGCATGCATGCGTGTGTGTGTCCGTGCGTGCGCCCGCATGCATGCGTGTGTGTGTCCGTCCGTGCGTGCGCCCGCGTGCATTCATGCTTGCGTGTGTGCGTGCGTGCGTGTGTGTGCGTGCGTGCACGTGTATGTGTGTGCGTGCGTGCGCCCGCGTGCTAGCGTTCGTCTGACTCACTCACCATCGTTGTTGCTGTGCAGGTCGGAGTTTGAGGTGGACGATCAGTATGACCGGCCCATGAACCCGTTCGGACAACCCACCGTGCCAGGCTACGGGGTCAGCAACTTGGAGGGAAGCTTCGTCGATCGATTCTAGACTCCAGACAGACCTCTACCCACCACACAGCAAGGACACGCACGCCCTGCACGCACGGACACGCGCATGCATGCACAAGCATGCACGTGTGCACTCACGCACGTGGCATCGACGTACGAAATGTTTTGCTCCGATTCTTCGGATTTTTTCGGAATTTACGTCGATTTGTGCCGTGTTACGAGTAAACTTTCTAGTCTAGAGTCGAGCGTAGGATTCCAGAATTCTGGTGCCTCGTTGTCGGAAACAAAATTAAGTCTTAACGTTAGTTTTAATTTTTGGGATTTTTCTCGTAGACCACTGACAATAACTTGGTGAGTTTTATCATGGGTATTGAAAACCCATGTTCTGTTTGAGTATGTAGAACATAGTCTATAGAGTCTGTATAGTCTGTATAGAGGTCTGGTCTACAAGAAAACTTTAAGGTAGAACGTATAGTGATGTTAAAACTGATGGTGGGACTAATCTTGTTTCTGACGACTGAGCCCCAGGCTAGTCGAACGCCTCAACTTCATCTTGCCTGCTTCATGCATTCTTCCGATCTTTGTGTAAACACGTGTAATATCGTAACCTCGTGAGTATTAGTCTTCAAAGTCCAAGGGACTATATCGAAGACGAATGTGTTGATATACGAAGTCGTCGTTTAGAAATTATTCTTCATTTGAAAGAATGCTGGGGGGCTTGTTGCCAGAAAGGTCGCAAATAGTTTATATATAGCTATCTATGATATATATCAAGATATATATATATCAGGAGTAGATAATAGGGAAGGAGTGTGACATCAATAAACAAGGGAAATTCGTCATTTACTAGCCTTATAATACCTACGATTTACTACACGTAACTCATCGAACTTGAGCTCAAATCGTACACAGTATCATCGTGCGAAATCGTTTCCTC